AAACAAAGTTTTCAAAGAAAATGTTTGAATATTTTTTCAGTTCTCCCAGATATTTCTCAACAACAAAAGATTAAATGTTAGTTCCTGAAGAATTAGCAATCCTCTGTTTAATGTTAGTCAAACAGGTGGAAGTCATACAATTCCACTTACACGGTATATGTTCCAGGTTCAGCAATTGTTAGTTTTTTGCTTCATTTTTGTGGGGCAGACAGAAGTCCAGATGCTGATCCTGCCAACTAGAAAGACAATGTACAGAAGCAGTGGTTAAAGCATAGTTGTTGTGCATTTGAAAACACAAAGTGTTGGAGAAACTCACCAGGTCTGGCAGCATCTGTGGAGAGGAACAGTTAACATTTCGAGTCCAATATGATCCTTCTGAAGATGATCACTCAGTTGGAGCAATATTTCGACTTACTTTTAAACTTTACATTTGATTCACAGCTTACATTAGTGAAAACAAGAATAAAATAGTAATTTAAAAGGCTGGTTGAAAGTGTTGGAAATACTGCGAAAAATACTGCAATGTAAACAGCTGCTTCCTTACCTACAAGTAGGAAAGAGTTTCTTCATTGTTTTGTTGAGGTATATCATCTCCAAATCGGCTGTTAACAAATGCAGAAGCCAAGCAGAGGCAGTAAATTCTTGTCTTTGCCCTGGATGGAAACGGGCATCTTAATTTTGTTATGGTTACCATCATCTGGGTGAGTAACCTTCTATACCCTAAGCCTCATACCCCTCACCATCACCCATGCCCATGGTCCCTTTGCCCTCCATGCCAACTCATGCAAAATCCATCAGGGTAAAACATCAGGAAAGATGCTGAGATTCAACAAATTCAAGTTCTAAGTGTCTGTTGCAGACTTGCCTATTAAAATAATCACAAAATGCATTCAATGATTTTAAAAACCCCTAAGTACTTATTCCATTATAAAATCAAATATTTGTATTCACCATGCCACTTCAAGCATCAGTTAATCCATGAATAACCTCTCTGAAATGTCAAACTGTGAACTTGCAGCTCCCCGCTGTGATAATGATAGGTAAGGATAGCAGTAATAATCCTATAATAATCGCGCTGAAGGTTATGTCAACAAAGAACTATTGAAACAGCTAGCTCGTATTCTTCCAACTCTCAGACACAGGCAGGTATGATTTTATTTTCAAATTTTAAAAGGAAGGCTTTTCAAGTAATTTGGCAGCTTGACATTTGTACAGACCTTAACCATCCATCTTCTCTAAAATAAAATATGAGTGCACGGAGCAGGGTAAGGCTGTTGCTTCAATGAAAATGACGCCTGTTTTAATTTGGTATTGAGTTCATATGTCCTTGCTGAATTTAGATTTCCTCCCTGTGGGAGTCATACCTGCTCCATTTTCCCCCTGCTCCCAGCAGAAATAGGATCTGTTGGAAATGGGGAACAGGACTTCAGGATTCCAGTCTCATTTGCCATTTTTAAAGGTCCTTGAAGGCTTTGTAAGAGGGGTAGGTTTCAATTTCAGATGGCACAAAAATATGCAGCTTATGTTTTCCTGAGCCCACAAGAAGAACTGATCTCAGTCTCTATCCCAGAGTATAACACGGGTCTTCTGAGCTGTTTCTCACAATGAACTATTATGCATTTTTGGCTCTAATGTATCATAATTAGAACCTACTGTATGAACTTAACCTGAAATTTTCAAGGGAGTTCACTCCCTTCTCCTAATTTTCACATAATTAGCATTTAACAAGGCCTTAACATGCAATTCTTCTGACTAACTTTCAGTAACACCATTTTTTAAGGAAAGAAATATATCTAATGAATTAATATTTTGAGGTGTTAGTATGGGTAGTCAATTTTAATTAATATTTAATATTAATTTTTGATATTATTTATTTAATAATTCAACACTTTGAACCACATTTGTTTTACTGAAATTTTGGTATTTTGAGGAACATCCAATTCAATGATGCCATTGTTAAACTTTATATTCTGAAAGAACTGTAGAGAATTGATGAAATGCCTCAATTAGTCAATGTTGAACAAAAGTCAGATATTGGATCAGAGGCAAATTTCTCATATTACATTTGCAGTTTTCTGACTGTCTGCTCAGAAAATTGGCTGCATCTGATACCACTATGACTTGACCAAATGATGTTTTTCTGAAACAAAAACAGAAATATGCTTGAAATACTCAGCAGGTCTGGCAGCATTTGTAGAGACGATGAATTAATGAACAGATATTTCCTCCAAACGCAGAACATGGAGGTCACGCTGTTTCCACATGCTTTTCTCGTGTCTTAGTGAAGCTGTTACTCCTTGTAATTTTCAAGGAGATACATATTTAACCAGGCTGGAGACAGGCTCACTGTCCAACTGAGGATGGCATGGGGGCTTCTAAAGCTGGAGAGCCAATCAGAGACTTGCAGTGAGCAGAAGGCTCTGATCGTTGAAAATAAATAAGAGACAGTAGGATTCAAGATAGAGATGCCACACACTCGCTCCAAACTCTTCAACTCTAACTTACAAAGTTTCTTTAGCAGCCAGATCAGTACAGAAGAGGGAAGGGGAAGTGGAGAAGGTGTGGGCATATATAGCTGCTCCTGCACCCACATAGGCAGGGAGAGCTTCTAGTCCTATCTAGAGCATTGGTAGCCCAGCTTACTGCTGGGATATCACATCTGGGCTCCTGAACCACCCCCACCCACCAAAATCAGCAGGAACCTGAAGATTGGCTGGTAAATTACCCTCAATAGACTTTTACTGAGGCTGATCAGCGACCTGCTGTGGCCCTGATCCCACCTCCACAAAAGTGGCCCAGAGTGGGGGTGGAGCCATGGAGCTCTGGGCAGACTGGCTGAAAGAGCCATTCTTAACTCTCACCAACTTTGATTCTGGCCCTAGTGGCTTTAAAAAGTCAGACATTTCATGTCTGTCACCTTTCATCAAAACTAGTTTCTATGAGGTTTTGCTTCCTCGATTGACTTATAAAGTTAGATTCTATGAGGGAAAGCTCCCATTTGTGTAAAAGAAGCTGCAGATGGGCACCTTAGGTTCTGAGGTTAGTGTGTCAAATTACAGGCACTTTTACGTAGAGATCAGACATTGAACACATTCAGTCCATTCAGAAACAATCAAACTGGAGTGGAAGCAAGTTATCCTTGATGCTGGGAAACTGCCTAGAAGAAGAAACCAGTCCTACATATAACTGTTTATTGTAATTAATGACCAGTTAATCAAAGCATTGTTCTGTCCACCCAAACTCCCATCAACTGAGACTCTATGCTGCAAGCTTTGCCTCGTAGAATTTATCCTGTTATTTCAGATTAAAAACTACAAGTATGCGTATGAATCTCATGAAACCACATATTCTTTGCAGATAACTTTTTGTTGGCCTTGAAAGTGATCCAAATATTATATGTTGCAAAGGAAATGTAACAGAAAATATTTGGATGCCCGATGAAATTTCTCCAGGTCAAAATGTCCCTATTGTCCTGACACAAGCACCAGGCATGAAGCAGCTGAGTGGTGTTGACACATGTTGCCAAGTGGCTGTTGGGTTTCGCCCACATCCCTGTTTGGGCAGCCAGTGAGTCCTAGGGACAGTAGTCCATGTTTAAAGCTTTTATGTCAGATTCCATGCCTAGCTTGCTGTACAAAAGGAGATTGTAATTGTTTTAAGTTCTTTGCTCCTTTTCACATTCTAATTCACAAATATTTCTGCAATGTTATTTGTGTAAATGAAATATGTCTGTTCAGTTCATCTACCATTTCTCTATTTTCAATTATTAATTCCATGGGCTCACTGTCCAGAGGATCAACTCTCACTTTACCATATTTGATTTTCTGTGTTTCCACCTAGCTTTCTTCTGCACTATAATTTCCCCTTCCTTATTAACTTTTCAGTCATTCTTAGTTGTTCTTTAGTTTCTGTCCAACTTTCTGACCCAGCACTCTTCTTTGCAGAATCATACTCTTTTTCTTGCAGTTTGATATGATCTTTAACTTCTTTAGTTAGCCACTGATAGCACATCTTTCCCTTTCTCACTGGAATGTATCTTGTCTGAGTACTCTGAAATATTTCCATAAATGACTGCCACTATATGTTTACTGACCTTTCCCTTAATCTCAATTGCTAGCTCTATCTCCGTGCTCTCATAATTCTTCTTATTTATGCTTAAAACTTTAGTGTTCAATTCATTCTTCTTTCCTTCAAATTAAATGAAAAATTCAATTGTATTATGATCAGTATTACCTCAAATCATTAATTAGTCCTGTAGCCACTTATTGAAGAAACAGTTAGATGCAACACTAGGATTCAGACTCTCGATTACCCGGATTAAACAGGCATGTTAACTTCTTTGTTATTAAATTTTCCCACCAAAAGAAATGTTTTTTTAATACTTACTTCCCATTTTAACTTTTGAAATATTTTGATCAGCTCACTGGTCAATCTTCTATACTCAAGAAAATGAAAACCACATTTATGCAAGTGTTCTCATAATTTAGTTTTCAGCCATTTTAGCATTGTAGTGAATCTTGGAGTAAATCATTCAGTATATCTTTGCTAAGATTTAGTATCCAGATTTAAAACACAATATTCAAGGTGAGATCTGACAACAGCACTGTATTTCAACTCTCCTGAGAGAAATGCCGACATTCCATTAAACATCTTGATTTATTTTTGTAAATTTCAGAGATTATTCAGGTCTTCAGTCACTCTCAGTTCATAGTTTCTCACCATTTAGAGAATACTGCCTTTTATGTATTATTTGCATCAAATGTAGGAGTCTCAAGATGAATTATTTAAAAATTTGATGGGACTTGAACTGAAATGACATGTCCTGACCATAGCCTGTTTCATGGTGTGAAAGTAGGCACAGTTAATTTTAATCTGGTTACTGGAAAAAGAACACACTGTACAGAAAACTACAAGGGCTGAATTCACTATGACATGTTGTAATATGAACTATATTAGAGGATTAGTTGTAAAGCATCAGTAATTTGTTTGAATCTTTTCAGAAGAGATCTGCACCCTGGTAATTGCTGAAGCTTTCTCTGAAGACTCTGGGATGTTCACTTGTACAGCCAGCAACAAGTACGGCACAATGTCGAGTTCTGCTCAACTCACTGTTCACGGTAAGTTATCCTTATTCCTTTAACATTGAAATTGTATATTATGAGATTGGTGCTTCAAGTTGTATTTTTTTCTTCCCCAGAACCATTGTATTATTCCAACTGTACAGCAAATCCACAGGACCAGTGAGCATTTTCACAGGATCATATAGAAATTTCACTGAATTCATAGAATCCCTATAATGTGGAAGCAGGCCATTCTGCCCATTGAGTCCACACTAACCTACCAAAGAGTAGCCCACCCAGACCCACCCCTACCCTATTGCTGTATCCCACCGTAGACACTATGGGCAATTTAGCACAGTCAATCCACCTAACCTGCACATCTTTGGACTGTGCGAGGAAACCAGAGCACCCGGAGGAAACTCACACGAACACGAGGAGAATGTGCAAACTCCACACAGACAGTCACTGGAGACTGGAATCAAACCCAGGTCCCTGGTGTTGTGAGGCAGCAGTGATAACCACTGTGCCCCCCTCTTCCCCAAATTTGCAACACTTTCCTATAATAAGGCAATACTGTCAAGGGATTAGGGAGTAGTTTTAAGGGACCAAACAATGTCTCAGGATTGTGCAATCTCACAGGATAATGCAACAATTTCACAGGATTGAGAAGCAGTTTCAGGGTTAAGCAGGGGTGTAGAGCTGGATGAACACAACTGGCCAGGCAGCATCAGAGGAGCAGGAAAGCTGACGTTTCAGGTCTGGACCCTTCTTCAGAAATGGGGAAGGGGAAGGGGGCTGTGAAATAAATAGCGAGAGGGGGAGGCGATGATAGAAGGTGGATAGAAGAGCAGATAGGTGGAGAGAAGACGGACAGGTCAAGGAGGTGAGGATGAGGCTAGTAGGTAGGAAGTGGGGGTGGGCGTTGGTTAGTGAGGTGGGAGGAGCTGTTCATGACAAACGACAACACCTCCCAGTCACGAACCACTTCAACTCCCCCTCCCACTCCTTGGACAACATGTCCATCCTGGGCCTCCTCCATTGCCACAACGATGCCACCTGAAGGCTGGAGGAACAGTACCTCATTTTCCGCCTGGGAACCCTGCAGCCCAATGGTCTCAATGTGGACTTCACAAGCTTCAAAATCTCCCCACCCCTGACCTCATCCTAAGACCAGCCCATCTCATCCCCACCTCCTTGACCTGTCCGTCTTTTCTCCCACCTATCCGCTCCTCCCACCTCACTGACCAACCCCCATCCCAACTCTCTACCTACACTCACCTGTACTAGCTTCATCCCCACCTCCTTGACCTGCCTGTCTTCTCTCCACCTACCTGATCCTCTATTCGCCTTCTATCATCGCCTCTCCCTCTCTCTATTTATTTCAGAGTTCCCTTCCCCCCCCCCCCCCCTTTCCGAAGAAGGATTGAGACCCGAAACGTCAGGTTTCCTGCTCCTCTGATGCTGCCTGGCCTGCTGTGTTCATCCAGCTCTATGCCTTGTTATCTCAGACTCCAGCATCGGCAGTTCCTACTATCTCTCAGGATTACGCATCTGTTTTACAGAATTTAGGCAACAGACCAATGAGTTTAGACTGTTGCTTGATAGAACTTGATGGGCCAATTAGTCGTCATCTTTGCCATTAATGTTCTATTTTTAAGCAGCAGTGACATAGGACCTAACAGCAGCTTCACAAAATTAGGCAGCAGCCTGATAGGATAAAACAATAGTCTCCTGGGATTATATAACAGCCTCTTCGGATTATATAACAATCTCATGAGATTACGGAACAGTCTCGCTGGAGCTGCAGCAGTTTTACAGGATAAAACAACATTTGCAGGGGATTAACAGCAGTATTACTGGCTAAAACAATAGTCACATGAGATTAGACAACGGTTGTACAGGATAAATTAACAGTTGTATGGGATTAGCAGCAGTTTTGCTGGATTAAACAACTATCTGACAAAATAGAACAACAGTGAGTGAGTGAATCAGAAAACTGTAAAACAGATGGCATTCTATGAGATTAAGTAACTGTTGCGAGCAATTTTAATTTTCCTGTTTTAATTTTGGCGTGAAGTTTCAGATGATTTCCTGACCAGTATCAGTTTGACTCCATTCTTAATAATTTCTTGGGGTTTCATTGTTACTTTGAGCACATGATTTTGGAATACTGAATCATCCTAATACATGGAAGATAGGGACAGTATTGGGCAGCAGGAAAGTGAGGGACCCTGAAAGAAGTGGTAGTACCATTGATAATAATGATAGGGCTGGGCTCATGGTGCAGTGGGTAGTGACCATTCCTCTGAACCAAAAGCTTCAGGTTCAAGTTCCCTTCCGCAGCTTGACAGTAAAGAAAAGGCCGCAGTTGTAATGTGGCCAAGCTGACTGTCAACCTGTTAAATCCTTCCAATAGCCCAGTTGGTGGTAAGAATGGGAGAATTTCCTGGTCAACCAGCTTGCCTGTGTTAAAAGACTTCATGCACAAGCTGTTGCCCAGGGCTCCATGGTAAATATCTTCTTTGCTTCAAGGGTCTGTTAGAGAGAAAATAATGACAAAGGCTTATTATCATTTCTTAATTTCATTTTCCTTTAGACAATGGGCCAAATAATAGAGGGCTGGATACCAGTTGGGAGAAACAGCTGGGAACAATCCCCTGGCAAATCGATAGGGATTAGAGTTTTTGGAAGGGATGGGTAACAACTTTGCTGATCATGTTAGTGAGGGGAGGCCATGATTGCCAGATGGGAGGCTGAAAGTTTGCTCAAGGGGCAGAAGGCTATTCCTATTCCTTCAAACTAACAGAGAGTCTTTAAAAATATACCTGAAAGCACTGGTACCTGTTAATGCTTTCTTTAATGTAATGCTTACTTAAACTGTTTGATTCAATAGTTAAGGCAATTTGCACAAAATCTCAATCATGGTGGTGACCTTGCCTGTAGTAAGTATTACTGGGGTATTCCTCGAGATTGGAAAACTATGGGAAGTCTGCCCATAATTTTCTGCAATGTGATCCTAGAGGATAAGGCTCACAACCAGGGATGCAATTTCTCAGAACTGGATTCCAATTGTAGAAAGTGATATATCTTATGTAGTAAACTGTCTACAATTCATCAATCCTGTTTGCTAACTTTTTCACAGGAACTGAGGATAATAATGCTGTCAGTACGAATGCTTCAAGCTCTGTGACAGTTGAGGCCAATGTGCCAGTCCAGCCAGACAAAACACACTTGCAACCTTCTGACCACTTGAAACCCAAACTGGAGGGTGTTCTTGTGAACCATCAGGATCACAAGCCCAAAGCTGGGCTAAGAGTGCATTTCAATTTGCCTGAAGATGACACGGCAAGTGAGTCTTCAATTGAACGGGAGCACATTTCAGGAAATGGACAGAATTCCTGGGCTTCAGGGCTAATTTCACCCACAAAGGAGCCACCACCAGTATTTGCAAAACCAAAACTGTGAGTAGTTCATAACAACTGCAGTCCTGCAGAATTATGGCATTGTTTTGACTGAAGTTTGAAAGCAGACAGTTTCCTGATTGTGTTAGTACCATGATATTATTCTTTGGAAAGTTGTCAACAACAGTTCTGTTAACCAACTATTGCTTCAATTTTTGAAAGTTTAACATTTTTTTGCCCTCAAAAACAGATTACAACAGTCAATAATATGTGAACATTAGGATCAATATTTTAAAGCTATAAATCTCATGACAGAATCCATCCAAGCTGCTGAAGAGGGCTTGAAGCAAAGAATATCATGTCCCATTAATAAAACTCAGATTCAGAGGGCTGAATTTTATTAACCTTCTGGAGATGGGCTGTGAGGAGAGAGACCTAATAAAATTGGGTAGAAGGCATCAGAAGGAAAATCTGATTTTCTCAAATAGGTAGAACGCAGCTGCCTAATTCATTGGCCAATGCTCAGGCACATGCCACCCCACCCATGTTTACTGATGCCAGGATGGGCCACTTGCCATATGTTGTGGGTTCCCAGAGGGGCCCTCCTTTAACGGTCGATCCATGGTCCCTGGAGGGTTGATGCCAAAGGTTGTATCCGTGGTTTCAGCACTACAATGACAGATGCACTGCATTTGCCAGGACTTACCTGGAACTATCTCCGCTTGGGCTGGCAGCTTTGAAAAGTTGGCCACCTCGTAACTGACTGCCACTGATAAACAGTGCCTGGCATCCCACCATCCATTGGCTTCCAGTGTCTATCACTGCAAGCCCGGGACTTGCTCTCTGTTCCAGCAGCACGATGCCATAGAAGGCCTTGGAAAGATTCCAGCCAGAGAAACAAAGCATATTTGGATACAAAAATAGACCATCCAACCTATCCCTTAGCACCAGTCTTTATCTTCAGATATGAATTAGTTTTATTCAATCTGATACTTTTAGTTTGTCCCATATCTGTTAGAATTTTGATCATCTCAGTTTACTGATTCCACTTTTTAAAAATGGATCCGACAATGGCAGAAGCAGATAACAGTGCATTCCACCTTGTAGCCACACACGGTTGCAGAATTTGCATCAGAAAGATTGCACACAGTTGTGATCTCAACTGTTGTCTCTGTTGGACTATGTGGTAGCCAGGGACAGGTCATCATCGTAGGCATTGAGCAACTGTCATCTGGATTGTACCAAGGGCTTGAAATTTGGCATACGTTCTGCAATATAATGAAATTTCTTTTTGTGGAACTGGATTTCTGAGGTCCACGTTGGGCGTATAATATTACAGGACCCACCAGCAAGAAGAAGCCCATGTTACCAAGGTCTTGAGTGTTTAAAAGATACTTGAGTTTAGTTGCCAGCTTTTTCTTTTCCTGTTTATTTAAATCTTAAGTGCACAGAGTAAAATCCTACTGTGTTGGCAGAAGTTGCAGATATTCAAGTAGATAAAGATGAGCAAATATTTCCTTCAGTGGATACGTTTCCAAGAAAATCAACTTAAGTGGGCTGTTGGGTCCATTGTGAGAAATAATCAGATATCAATTTGAATTATAATCCAGATACATACACTTTTAAATTTACAATTTCATCAAGGTTTTAAAGAGGACAAAAGCATTTACAATTACAACGTTTAAAAGCTATTTGATAAGTACATGAATAGGAAAGGTTTGGAGGGATATGGGCCAGGAGCAGGCAGGTGCGACTAGTTTAGCTTGGGATTCTGTTTGGCATGGACTGGTTGGACTGAAGGGTCTTTTTCTGTGCTGTATGACTCTATGTAAATAAATAATCTATGATTGTCCACTGTCAGTTACAGTTACATCTGTAGATTCCCACTTCCTTTGGAAAAATGTTGAAGTGTCCCCTTCAACCCATTATTATCAAAATTTGAGAAAGACCCCCCAGATGCTGACGGTATGGTAAAAGATATTGCAAAAGGGCGAGGCAATAAAATTAGAATTTGTACCTCCAGTTGAATAGATGGACAACACCATGAATCAGAGATCAGAGTGACATTGTAACCCAGTTCTCTGATAAACTCTCCTTTCTCGCCAGGCTCAGCTCCTTTTAGTGCAAATTGCTGAATAAACCTCCACTGTCCTGAGCAAAGGCTTTCCCATTTAGTATTAAGAGCAATGAGCAGTGTGAAAGCCATCATTGTTGTAGTCTTGAAGAATGATTATGTGGATTGAAGTAGAGGATATTTTTGGCTAATTGAGTGAGCTGGGCTCAAAGTTGGATGAGCATTAGGATTGTTGTTTATCCAACTCCCAGACTGTCGCTTTTAGCCAGGCTGCATTTCCATTGGCAAGAGCAATTGCACTTTTCATACAATCTTCCTCTAAAGAACTTAAAAATATATTTGTGACCTCAGCCTGTTGTGTATGTTGAACGAGAAGCTGCATTTAAAGGGACTTTCATCCATTTTGACTATCACAGTATTTAAAGGGAATGCCATTGTTAATGGTGAAAAGTTGCTTTGTTGCAATATGTTGTTCATTTGACATTTGCAGCTGCTTTCAGTTGTGGTGCAAGTTTTGCAATTTTGGATTGAATTGCAAACCCTTATTTCTCATCTGCAGCTGTTGTTTCAGGACAACAATTTTGAAGATTCTTATAGTGCATGGCTGCCCAGTTTCTTTTACTTTGAAGGAAAAAGGTAATTACTGAGGAAGAGGCCTTATACCTGAGGCAATGTTACTGTCCATTCTCAGCCAAACATACTTGTCTTCAGAGGAGATACCAAGAGGGCAAACTCCTCAGGCAATGTTCAGGATTGAGATGGTTCTGCCAGACATGAATAATGCTAGTTCTCATTCTGCCACCACCATTGTTGCTGATTGATCTCTGACCTCTGTTTTGCTGCTATGCATTTACTTCCCATGGATGCAGACTTTGCTCTTCTTCATTTTCCTTCAAAATCCAACTGTCACCCTTTTCTGGATTAGTTTCTTAAGCACTTAGCTGCCTTCCAAGTCTGTGCGCACTTCATTCCCGACAGCTCCCAATTTATCCTGTGAATTTACCTTTCACCTCCCCCTAACTTTACTGCTTACAATTCCTGGTTAAACTCTTGAACTAGTGCAGGGAAATTGTTGATACATACTGCTAGTAACTGAGGCCTCTATATCTCCACCAAACTGTAACCAAGGTCATCACCCCAGTGCAAACTCCATGCACCAGTCACTGATTCTTCCGCTACTGTCTCGAGCTGGAGCTAACTAAAACTTCACTGTCCTTGCAGTCTGAAAATTAACTACCATATTTGCTAGATTATAATAGTGACTACACTTGATGTAAATAACGGGAGCTGTAACAGTTCCTGAGATCATGAAAGTCACAACATAAATTCAAATCTTTTCCTGTAACCCACAGACTGACCAAGCAGTCTGCATTTCATCAAGCCTGGGTCTCTGCAAAGGGCTAAAATTTCTAGTAAATGTTAGATCATTAACTCTTTAGGCTTTAGTTTTTCTAGCCTGTTTGAAGCATGAGAAAAATATTCTTTGAAACACCTATAAGAAGTTTTCATTGATTGATGTGTCATGAAAGGAAGTTGTCCAATTGTTCTAAATTGTACCATATGGTTGCTATTTTTCTCAGAGTATACCCCAGCCCTGGGAGTGATCCTTCATAACCAAACAGACAGCTGAAAGGCTTTGCCTGATGCATGGCTTCATTTCAAGCTACAAAGGAGCACACTGTCCTTTAGAAAACTGTATAAGGCACACAGTGAAAAAGAAGTTAGAGCTGTGAGCTGAAAACAGTAAACTGTTTTGTTTTAAAGTATTCCATTCAAAAGGTTTAACTGTATTTTTGTAAGGGCATAACAAGGTTTGGCGACCTCAGGGACTTAAGAAAGTGACTACTTGTTATGTCTCCCATTTCCTGAAAACTTCAAGAACAGAGATTATGAGTACCCAGTCCTGTGAAATGATAGTCATATAGTCCAGGAATTAACATGGCTGATGGGAGTCACACGCACTGGTTGGAGACCTGCATCCCTGTTTCCACAGAAGATCAAGTGTTGTAGGCTGTAGCTATATTCCCTGGAGCATCAGAGGCTGAGGGGTGGCCTTATAGAATTTTATGGATACATGGATCGGACAAAGTCTTTTCCCCTAGGTAAAGGAGTCCAAAACTGGAGGACATAGGTTTAAGATGAGAGGGATGAGAGGGGAAGATTTAAGAGCAACCTGACAGGCAACTTTTTCATGCAGAGGGTGGTGCGTGTGTGGAATGAGCTGCCAGAGGACGTGGTGGAGCCTGGTACAATTACAACATGTAAAAGGCATCTGGATGGTATATGATTAGGAAGGGTTTAGAGAGATATGGGCTAAATACTGGCAAATGGGGCTAGATTAATTTGGAATATCTGGTCAGCATGGACAAGTTGGATTGAAGGGTCTGTTTCTGTGCTGTACATCTCTATGACTCTAAGTTTGACCACAGAAGGAGATTGTTCAATCATTAGATTGTAGTTCCTCAGCTACTCGAAAATCATTTCAGTGTTGTTTTATGTCTCCTTTAGATATATTCAACCGTTTCCCTTCTTAAAAAATAGGAACTGCCTTTTAAAAAAAATCATTTAATATTGAAATTTCCCAAAGTATTTCTCATGCAGACATTAGGAAATTGGCCAAGAATGGAGAGGAAGCAGTAGGAGCAGATGGTCGAAGAGATGAGTTTTGAGGAGGCTTTTAAAGGGAGTTCAAAGGCAGAGCGCTTCAGGAAGGGAATTCAAAATGTTTGGAGTATGCGGCTCGCAGCCATGCTAATAAGAGTAGGATGAGGGAAAGGAGTACACTCAGTGGCTCAGCTCTGAGTCAGAATCCCATTCATGGAGGACAGATGGTTGGATTTTAGGGAAGTGTTGGGAGTCTTGCTTACCAGATAGCCTCCTGTGTGAAAGGCCACTTGTATTAAGTTCCTTGTCAAACACCTGAGTTGCCAGCAGCAGACTTTCTGTGGGAATCGCGGATCTAGGGGCAGGAATTCCACCCTCCTGA